TTATACTGAGGAGTTACAGGAAAGGAGGGCCACCCAGGCAGTGTACAGAGCTTAAGCTTAAAGGCATAGAGATGAGATAGTGTGATGCTTGGATTTTATACCTTTTCTGTAGATCAGGCTGCATTATATCAAGCACATCCTTAGGGGAAATAATATTGTTTTACATCTCTAATATCCTCAGCCAATCACTGGCACCAGAACAGATTTTGCTTGAGTGTAGAAGTGAGAGAGCACTTGACTTCAGATTTGAGTGCCCTAGTGCTAAGATTTCACTTTGATGTTCCTGTGCTAAAATGTAGCATAATCAGAAAAAGGGGAAATCTTTTAAAATTAGTAGTTTTCAGGACTGATCCAGCTACAGGGGAGGAAGCTTCATGAGGATGTCTGTGTTCATATACTTGTGATAATACCAGAACAGAAATTTAGGAAATTAAGATGTTGTGATTTTGCAGCTGATTTATAATAAATATATGATCATAATATCCAGTGACACCACTCTTTAAAAACTTATCCTTAATTTTATTCTGATAAAGGAATGAATTTAATTGTTCAGCGTGTTCTGATTTTGTTTTATTATTGTCTTGTTTGATCAGAGGACTTGGTCGGAGCTTAGAGTCCTGAGAAAGATCAGTGTTACAAGTATAGAAAAAAAAGTAGTGAATTATCTGTTTTACACAACACTGTTTACAAACACTATACAGAATCTTTTATTCCAAGAACAAACAAGAATAAAACAGTGGTTGTTTTTATGCTTCTCTTGAAACATCCCTGAAGGTGTCTATGCTCAGTACTTCTCTGTGCCTTTATTTCCCATGTGCATCTTTTCCTGAGTGTGAACAAGTGCTTATGTTCTAAGTAGGATTATTTCCTAAAATTCATTAAACAATTGGAAGTGGTTATGCTGATCAACATACGCTGTTTTGTTAATGCAGTATTCAGTTGTATATTAGTGTTTAGTAAAATAACCCTAGAGCTAGTGAACAAAGCTTCCGGCTCAAAGTGAATCTGTAATTATATCTTATTTTTTTTTAATGTTTCTAGAAAGGTGCATTTCCATTGATGTATCCTCTTCCCTTGCCTGAGTCGCCTCTAATTGTCTGCCTCCACTGAGTGAAATTAAAAATAAATGAATTATTCAATGAAGGCACTTATTTCTGAGTTGGAGCTTTCAAATGTCACAGCAGAGAAGCTTTTTTCCCTCTCTGAGGGATCTAACAGTCTGTGAGTGAGTTTTTGGTAATTGTGCTATTTTTGGGGCTTATCATATTCTCCGTAATTGAACCAGATGTTGAGTCTTCTCTGGAGGAAAAGGGTCTTCTGAGTCTATGTAGTAGTGTATCAGTCTTGTATCCCAAAAGGTTTGAGGTTAATGTGAAAATGAAATAGTAAGGCAGATGCTGTATGTAATGTTCCTGTAGATGGGTAATCCCTTTTGGACTGAAACACTTAAAAATGTGCAACTCACAGGTGCATACTACATGTAAAAAGTGGTTGGATGATAAATTGTTGTAGGATGTTTTTGACAGTCAGTCAAAATCCAATACTTTGTATGCAGTGGGATATTTGCTATTGTAATTGTTCTGAAATGGTGAAAATAGTTCATGAGTTCAAGAGGCTAAGGGCTGTAGAGGCAGACTGCATATTTGTGCGGGACTTACACCCTGAGTATGTTTCAGATGATCAGTTGAGCTCATTTCTCATCCCTAGGTATTAATATGTCACTAAAGAATACATATAAGCATTGCTTTTGTGTTAGGGTGAGATACTGAGAGGAAGCAGGGGCAGGTGTGCCTGAGTCTTCTCCTTTCTCATGTCTTGGTTTCCACCAGAAAGAAGCTTTGCTTTGTATGTTAGAAAGAGCCAAAGTGTTCCGAAGCCATGCTTCCCATTTCTAAGGCCCTCATGTATACCAAAGGAGTATTATTGCTCTTACAGTTACAGGTACATGTAGAACTAACACTTCACACTAGTCAGTGTTGCTGCCATTTAAGTATATAAGAACCCAGGCTGTGCAAATAGCAAATGTGTATTTCCAGAACAATTTGTCTCCCACGATCTATGGTAGAATAATTTGCTTAGCCACAAATTAATAACCTTTGATAAATTTTTCTTTTATGATTTGGAACCTAACCTTATTTGGTTATTTGTTTGAATGCCTAAACTTTTTTTTTTGTGCTGAATTCATAAGGTATTTTATGGCATGAATTTATTAATTTTTTACCTACCCAGTTTATACATTATCCCTGAAATGAAGAATTGCTTTTATTGCCATCTTTAGTATTTCTACTTGTGCAATGTGATTAATTTTATTTGAGTTTAGTCCATCAGCTTGTGGTTAAATATGTGTTCAGCAAAAATTCAGAATCAGAATCCATTAGCACGTTCCATCTTTTGGTGTCACATTCACCTACTCACTTACCTTTCCGAGCTGGACTGTAGAGGTTTATGGGCTTTTCGTGTGTACTTACAAGTAGCACCACTTCGTTATTATCTGGTCATTATGCCAGAGAGCCAGCCTGTGTATAGCTAAACTAGAGTTGTAGTTTGACCACAGAATCATAGAATCATAGATTCAGCCGGGTTGGAAGGGACCTCTGAGATCATCAAGTCCAACCCTCGATCCACTACCACCGTGGTTACTAGACCATGGCACTAAGTGCCACATACAGTCTCATCCTAAAAACCTCCAGGGACAGAGAATCCACCACTTCCCTGAGCAGTCCATTCTAATGTCTGATTACCCTCTCTGTAAAGAATTTCTTCCAAATACCTAACCTAAACTTCCCTTGGCAGAGTTTAAGACCATGCCCTCTTGTCTTACTGATAGTTGCCTGGGAAAAGAGACCAACCCCCACCTGGCTACAACCTCCTTTCAGGGAGTTGTAGAGAGTGATGAGGTCTCCCTTGAGCCTCCTCTTCTCCAGGCTAAACAACCCCAGCTCCCTCAGCCTCTCCTTATAGGACTTGAGTCTCTTCACCAGCCTCGTTGCTCTTCCCTGGACCTGCTCCAGCACCTCGACATCCTTCCTGAACTGAGAGGCCCAGAACTGGACACAGTACTCGAGGTGTGGCCTCACCAGTGCTGAGTACAGGGGAAGAATCACTTCCCTGGTCCTGTTGGCCACACTGTTCCTGCTACAGACCAGGATGCCATTGGCCTTCTTGACCACCTGGGCACACTGCTGGCTCATGTTCAGCTTCCTGTCAATCCAAACCCCCAGGTCCCTTTCTGCCTGGCTGCTCTCCAGCCACTCTGTCCCCAGCCTGTAGCGCTGCATGGGGTTGTTGTGGCCAAAGTGCAGGACCCGGCACTTGGCCTTGTTGAACCTCATCCCATTGGAATCAGCCCAACTCTCCAGCCTGTCCAGGTCCCTCTGCAGAGCCCTCCTACCTTCCAGCTGATCACATTCCCCCCCAAATTAGTGTCATCTGCAAATTTGCTGATGGTGGACTGAATCCCCTTATCTAAATCATTGATAAAGATATGAAACAGAACTGGGCCCAACATTGATCCCTGGGGGACACCACTAGTGACCGGCCGCCAACTGGATGCAACACTGTTCTGCTCTCTGGGCCTGGCTATCAGCCAATTCCTAACCCAGCACAGGGTGCCCCTGTCCAAGCCATGGGCTGACAGCTTTTCCAGGAATATGCTGTGGGAGATGGTGTCATAGGCTTTGCTGAAGTCCAGGTAGACACATCCACAGCCTTCCCCTCATCCACCAGGTGGGTCACCTGATCATAAAAGGAGATCAGGTTGGTCAGAGAGGACCTGCCCCTCCTAAACCCATGCTGGCTTGGTCTGATCCCTTGTCCATCCTGTAGATGCTGTGTGATTGCACTTAGGATGATCTGCTCCATAACCTTGCCAGGCACTGAGGTCAGGCTGACAGGCCTGTAGTTTTCCAGGTGCTCCTTCTGGCTCTTTTTGTGGATTGGCATGACATTTACCGACTTCCAGTCATCTGGGACCTCCCCAGATGACCTTCCTCATCTTTGATAACTATATTCCCACCCATGTCCAATAAAGAATGGAGGTTTTCATTGCCCCTCCTTTTGCTATTGATGTACTTGTAGAAAGACTTTTTGTTATCCTTCACAGAAGTGGCAAGATTAAGTTCAAATTATGCCTTCATCTCTCTAATTTTCTTTCTACATGACCTAACTCTATTCCTAAACTCTTCCTGAGTAGCCAGCCCTTTTTTCCATAATCGGTAGACTCTCCTTTTCCCCCTAATTTCCTTCAAAATCTCCCTGTTCAGCCAGACCGGTCGTCTTCCCCGACCACTTGCCTTTTGGCAGACTGGGACAGCCTGCTCCTGTGTGTTCAAGACTTCCTCCTTGAAGCATGTCCATCCCTCCTGAACCCCTTTGTTTTCAAGGGTTGTTTCCCAGGGTACACTCTGGACTAGTCTTCTGAATAGGCTGAAATCTGCCATCCGGAAGTCCAGCATAGAGGTTTTATTGATGGCCCTCTTTGCATCCCTGAGTATTGAAAACTCTATTATTTCATGGTCACTGTGCCCCAGAAGGCCTCCAACCACCACATCTCCCACCAGCCCCTCCCTGTTTGTGAACACAAGGCCTAGCGAGGCCCCATCCCTGGTAGGCTCATTTACCAGCTGGAGCAGGAAATTATCCTCTATATACTCTAGGAATCTCCTAGACTGCCTCTTCTCCACTGTGTGGAGTTCCCAGCAGACATACAGCAGGTTAAAGTCACCCACAAGAACAAGGGCTGGCGATTTTGAGACATCCGCCAGCTGCTTGTAGAACAATTCATCACCCTCATCTTCCTGATTGGGTGGCCTATAACAGACTCCCACCAGGATACCAGCCTTGTTGGCCTTCCCCCTGATTCTGATCCACAGGCACTCAACCTTATTGTTACTGACTTGAAGTTCCACAGAGTCAAGAGACTCTCTAACATATAAAGCCACCCCTCCACCTCTCCTACCTTGCCTATCCCTTCTGAAGAGCTCCATGGCAGCACTCCGGTCATGCGAGTCATCCCACCACGTTTCCGTGACGGCAACTACATCATAGCTTTCCTGCTGCACATGGCTTTCAGCTCCTCTTGTTACTGTGTGCACTGATGTACATGCATTTCAGCTGGGCTGCTTATTTCACTCTTAACTCAGGCTTTTCACCCTTAGGCTCCTCTCTGGACAGCCCGGTTTCAATCCCTTACCCCTTCAAACCTAGTTTAAAGCCCTCCTGATCAGTCCCACCAACTTGATGCAAGATAGAATATAGTTTAAATTGTCAATGTATCCAAAACGTTGGAGAACTAGAATAAGAATATTACATGTTTTTATTAGGTTTTTTTTCTTTTCCTTACTTGACAGCTAGAAATGCTTTAGAAATGGGAGCTCTTCTAGTCATTATCATCTGGAAAAGAGGCATGTGAACATACTTAGAGTTTTACAATGGAGCCTTTTAGCAGTTTTAAAACATTCCAGAAACTGTGTTTTAGGGTCTTTGAAAATGCAATTTGTTTACCCTTAGGCAGAAATGAAATGGAGGAATCCGTTTTCTGAAGTGCATTTGTATTTTGTTAAATAATACAGCAACGTCACTTATCACTTATCATGAAGAAAGATCGACTAGATTTGAAAGTGTTTGGGGGATCTCTTTGCTCTGTGCCTTTGATTTAGTCCTTTGACCTTGTGTAAATACCAATAACTCAACAGCAAGTATTGAAAAAATAAAAAAAATTAAAGGGAAACATTGAAAGGTACAGAGTAAATATAACTCCAATTTTGCATGAGTGGTAGTTTAAGGAAAAAATCAAGGTACTTCATTTACCACAGTAAAGTTTCAATATTTGTACTGAATAAGCTGAATGTTTTATTTGCTTGACTGTTCCTCTGTAATAATGCGAGACACATATGTATGTATATATTTATTTGTTTGTTTATTTACTGTTTCCACAGACACTTCCATTGGGGCTGGGAGATGGACAGCTCTTTACCTGGACTGATGGCTTAAAAAGGAAGGATTGGCATGATTATGAAAGCATTCAAAAAGATGCTATGCGTTCAGGTATATGTGAGTTCAGAACAAATTAAAGTGGTTTACTCATTCTATATCTACATGGTTATTTTTTCTTTTAAGTCATCTAAAAGGCATTCCCAACAACCTTTTTTTTTTACTGCAATGCTACAAGGACATAATGTTCTGAATTTAGGGGTCGGACCAAGCATAAATACCTTATCTCTGAAAACAGCTGGGTGACAATAAAAATAATGTGTTTCATGCTAATAACTATATAATGATTTTGTAATGGGAAAAAATGTTGTCAACAAAATACTTTCCATGTTGAAATCAGTTGTTAGACTGTGACCAAATTGAAACAAAGTGTTGGTTTCCAAATGGACATACATTACAATTAAAGCCAAGTTGTCCTTAGATCAATAAATAAAACCTGAGTTCAGGGAGTTCAGTACCTATAGCTGCCAAAAATATCTAAGGTTATCTTGGAAGAAAACTTTTGACACTTTTACCCTTGTCAAACTTAAACCCTAGAAGCTAAAGCTACTTCACTTCACTCTGACAGTCTAAAAGTATTTGAAAATGGGAGAAAATTGTATTTGCAGATATGCTGAAGGACACTTTGTTACAGTAGGTAATGCAATTTTAATGTACCTTCTCGTGGTGCATGCCCTAATTGCAGAGGATGGTTTGTATTCCTTTTTCTGTCATCAGAGCATGTTCAGATTGGAATTCTTCTTTTATAATATAATGGACAACTCTTCAACATAAGATGAATTAAATTAGAAAGAAGGGAAACAGCAGTTGAATTGCACCTTAATCAGTGTTTCAAGTCATTATTTTACAAAGGCCAATCTGCTATTGTAAAATAAATTATGTTGTCTTGATCCTACTGTCTTGAGACAGCAAACACCTCCCCCAGAATTCCTCTACAGCTGAATCTAGTTGACAAATTCATAAGACGTAGTAAGTACTTAGTTTTGCAGTAAGTACAACAAGTAAAATATTGCAAATGTAGGTTAATTTTGTAAACTGTTTCTCCCTTTCTCTTTTGAATCTTGATCACTAACTAAAAAAGTTATCCTTTCCTCTCACATGTGCTTAGGAAGTATAAAAGGTGGGGAGGAGGAGGAAGTTATTCTGTGCAACTTAGGAGTTGTCAGATCAATAATTATTGTGTTCCAAATTTCTAACTGAAAAATGACAAATATCTAAGAGAAGGTACAAAATAGTAGCAGCATGTATGTAGAAACTTGCACATATATAGAGAATATCACATCTGCTGGCTAGAATGGACTTTTTCAAGAGATGTGCACTGATGCTTTGTACTTTTAATGTGTACTTGATGCACTGTACTTTTAATTCCTAAATGTGTAATATGGTCCCCATATGTTTTAGGTAAAATAACAGTAATACTTAGGATTATCTGATGGATAGCTATAGCACTGCCAACATAATGCAAGCCATTGCATGGAGTCAACTAAGAAATTTACAGAACGTGTTATGTAGCTTTGTTATTTCCAGTCCTGATCCTAACATTATAACTGTAGTAGTATGTGAATATTTTTTCCAGTAAACTTTGATTCTTGGTAATGATAGTACTTCAAATATTTTGACTTATTTATATTTTTAAATTTTTTTATTTTACTGTTTGCTGAGTTTGCCCTTTTAAGAAATCCCTTTTAAATTATTTTTGTCATCATCATTCATAGATCAAAATAACTTCTAATGCTTTTTTTTTTGTGAAAATCACAGTATAGTAATAAAATACAAAGGTGGATTATCTCAGTGCACTCTTTTGGGACATACTATGTGATTTCTTTTCCTAATAACAAAACAAAATATATCTGAAATGAACTTTTAGTTAAAAATCTGTCTGAAAGCATGAAATAACACCAATGAAAAGGCTTCTTGGGACATTTCAGGAGAGGTAGTCAATGGTCCTTGCACTGAAAAAAAAGGAGTGAAGTATTTATTTTAATTCAGTCTAGCTGTTGATCTGTAAAGCTTACAATTTCTTAAGCACTGGGAATGTGAATTTCATAATTTCTAATTATGGAGAGGTACTAGTTTCTCCATGACTACTTCTTCCGTTTCACGGCCAAATATTTTGATCCCTTTTCATTCCATGAAATAAAAAATCTATGTTCCTGGATTTGTGTAGTCTCTCCTCCTATTTATAAAGCCATTTGCATTATAAATATACTACTTATCAGTACAGAATAGATGTAGTGAAATGAAGATTATGTCATTCAGTCAACACAATCACTTCCATTTTTCTCTGAATATTATTTTGTCATTAGCTCAAAACCAGTGACTGAAGTATAGGAATAGGAATGCAAAAATTAACGTTAACAAGAAATAATTCCTAACTAAACAGTTGTGATAGATACTTTGGAAAGAAAAAAAAAGAAGTTTAATTGCTTCCATTTTCTTAAGTGAGCCATTAAGTCAATCAGATATTACAATGGAGGGGGAGGGAACAAAATAAGCTGAAACTGACTTTGTTGGAGTTGATAAGTCATGCCATCTTTTTGACAAGAAATCAGCATTTAAAATAAGAACTGTTTCTATTAATTTATTTTCCTCTGGGAATACAACTGATGGCATACCTTGATGAAGGATATGTTTAATTTGCACTAAAAATATGAGAACTGTAAACAAATGCAAATTGCGCATCTGTCAATTTTTGTTTCATTAAGTAATAAACAGTGTCCTAAGTATATCAGAAGAATGCTCTTGCACTGAAGTTCAGAGTTGTGAGTGCAACTTACTCAGCTTGCGTAGTAATAACCTAGGTAGCTGCTGTTGTGTATATTAACCCAGGTACAGAAGCACTGATTGTGTCATGGCAGTGTAAACCTACCTGCATCCCTAGATAGAGTGGAGATCCTGGATGCTGAAGCCCCTGATATTGCCATTAATCAGCTACTGTAGTTGTCATTTCTTCATTTCATCAGAGATTTCCCTACTTACCTTCAGTTGTCTGGGGAGGACTCTGAGGGCTTTTCTACCAAGACATTAATTTCAGGAGCGTGGCAGCTTCTGTGGCATCAATGGCCACTGATTTTCCAAGCTTTCTGTGCAGAACTAGGAATGTGAGGTCCCTGAATGCTCCCGTGTGGGATGAGATTCACAGGAGAGAGCCACGTGAACCTAAGGTAGTAATTCAAAAGCATCCACGAGAAGAAATTATGTTGATTTCACCTCTATCTTTATGTCCTGGGTAGTGAGAATAAAAGTCCTCGACAATCAGTCAATGTCATTGTTCCTCCATTTCTGAAAGTTATTTTATCTATTTCACTCAAGAAATTCTCAACTCTACCATCAGATACAAGTAGGACCAGTAATGATGAATTACAGCCCTTTTCAGATAAGAGGAAGGATTCATATGTGTAATTCTTGGGCTTTTAAAGAAGTATAGATTGAATGTTTATTTTTTAATATGGTGCTATTTCTGATCATGAAAAGCTATTCCTAGCTACAAGTGATAGCTTTCCCAATGTAAATTACTAGAAAAGGAGAACTGAAGGATTAGAAAAACGGAAAATTTCCAGCTGAGCAGAACTGGAAAACAAAAAATAAGGTTTAATTACTGAAAACTTTTTATCAATTCTAATAATTATATTAAGAGCTGTGGTGGGTCTGGCTGAACCGGAATTTATTTCTCCATAGTAGCCCTCACAATGCTGTGGTCTGCATTGGTAACTTCATGGCTCGACTTCGCAAACGAAGATTTGAGAAGGATTCTACACACATTTGCTACAAGCTCACTGATGGCTAAAAAGACCAATGTGAGATAGAGGAGTCTAGTTGCAAAAGGTACAGCGGAAAGTCTCCTTAGGCGGTATTGGCAAGACACGATTCTTTCTGCATTGTCTTTTCTCCTCAAGAATGATTCTGCGTGTGTTCTCAAAAGAAGCAGCAGCATTATATATAGTGTATCTCCATGTCTCCTGATTGGAGGCCAGAGTAGACCAATGATGATGATCAGTATGGCCAAAGCTGAGATATTGTTTCAGGGAGTCCTTGTATCTTCTCTTCGGGGCTCCTCTCTTGCGGCAGCCAGTGACAAGTTTGCCATAGAGCACAATCTTAGGGAGGTAGTAGTCCTTCATCCTGGAGATGTGTCCTGCCCAGCGCAACTGTGTTCTCGGCGACACGGCCTCAATACTTGTAACTGCTACCTGTTCAAGAACAGACGCATTAGTCACGTAATCAGTCCAGTGGATGTTTAGGATTGTACAGAGACAGCGCTGATGGAAGTGTTCTAAGAGTCACAAGTGGTGGAGGTAAATGACCCGTGATTCAGACCCATATAAAAGAGTAGACAGCACAGTGGCTCTGTAAACACTAATCTTTGTACTTTTCTTCAGGTGTTTATTACACCAAACTCTTTTATGGAGTTTTCTAAAAGCTCTATATGCCTTTGCTAACCTGTTGTCTGTCTCTTTGTCAATCTTACCATCCGAGAAGATGATGCTTCCCAGATAATTAAACTGCTGGACTGACTTGAGCTCTGATTCGCCAGTGATGATGTGAGGATGATGGAAGACTTCCTGAGGTGCAGGTTGGTAGAAAACTTCTGTCTTCTTCAAGCTGACTTCCAGCCCAAAAAGCTCAGCAGCCTCTGCAAAGCAGGATGTTAAATGCTGCAGAGCTGCTTCTGTGTGGGCAACGAGGGTGGCATCATCAGCATAAAGCAACTCCCGGACGAGATGGTTTAAGGTCTTGGTGTGGGCCTTCAGTCGCCTTAGGTTGAATAGGCTTCCATCAGTACGATATCGGATGTAGATACCATCCTGATCATCGAGGTCTGCCGTGGCCCTTTGGAGCACCATGCTGAAAAAGACTGTGAATAGAGTTGGTGCAAGAACCCAGCCTTGTTTCACACCACTGGTAATTAGAAAGGGCTTAGAAAGTGCATCACCATATCTGACTTGGCCGCGCTGATCCTCATGAAGCAAAATGATCATTTTGAGGAACTTGAGGGGACATCCTAATCATTCCAAAATCTGCCACAGACCTTTTCTGCTCACAGTATGAAAAGC